TTTTTGGTTTTATGTCAAGCTAGCTACTGTCCAAGTTTGAGGGCAAATGAACAACTTCCCTTTGACTTGTAGCTTCCTAAAGGGACCAAAAAGATGATTTGGATGCTCACATTTAAAGGTCATGAAAAATTCAACCATTCATTATAATTCACAATTCTTCGTATAGTGTGATAGCCAGCTCTAAACTTTAATTTGAAATAACGGTTTAGGTATCAGTTTGAACCGGACATGCTTCATCACTTGGATGCAAGGCACCTTTAAAGGTGCTCTAAAGGTATATGGTTACCTCAAGGGCCAGGCACTGGGCAAATTGACCGGCCGTGAGGACGATTTTGCCCGCCTGATTTGACCATCTAGCAGAAAATTTCTCTTATAAAGAAGTTCAGTTCAAGTTGTTTTGCCTGCCTGCAAAAACCAGTCGCCCTCCTGATGAAAATGTGAATGAAACCCTGTTACTTACAGATTTTTATAATGACAGGGTTTATTAATTTGCTTATTCAAGTCGATTAGAAGTTTGAGATTTCCATTTGTTTTATTGCAATTTTCACTGGCATATATAAATTTATTTACAATAATATTGTAACAGAATCAAGACATTAACTCATTGCAGGAACAATTTATTTTTGATTTAATAATGTTGAATGTGTTACTGTATGATACCAATGCAATGACTAGAACTTTTTTGTAGAATTTTAAAGTTTTTTTTGTACAGATTCAACAGGAAATAAAACATAGTTTGGAAGTCATTGATTAGATTCTGAGGTACAGTTTGTTATTCAGACTTGACAGTTGGTATATTAGTAATTGGACAGAGTGGAATACAATTCAGGGAGTAATTGGGCAAGCAATTTCAAAATTGAAGGAACGTGCAGCACAAGGTCAATTTGAAATTAGAGCATGATTTCTCCCGGAATTGTGTGACACAAGGTCCAATTACTAATTAATCCTATCAATAACAAATCTAGAGATTAAAAAAGGACTTTGAGAAATTCTGTTATGCAAAAAAGTCAGTAGTGTTTTCCATAAGTTGTAAAAACTGCACGGAACATTAAGAAGGAAGCCATTGAAGCTCGCAAAATTGTCTGCGAATGGCAAAGGTACCTAATTAGAAAACGTCAAAATTTGACACCTGTAATTGGACACCCACATGATTGCACACCAATTATGTGAAAAATAGCTGTGCAGAGAACCAATCATGATCGAGAATCTTGTAACAGTTATAGGTACGATTGAAAGAAAAAGTCATCAGGAGTAGCAAAGGTGTTTTGACATCAGGAGTAGCAAAGGTGTTTTGACAAAAGTAGTATCATTAACCACACAAATATTGCGATAAGGTACATGCACATTATATTGTACAGAGAAGAGCTTGTTTAGTAGATGTAAGCTTACATAGTAGGATAAAAAGACAAAGAATTATTTACAGCTGAACAAATATACAAAGCTTTCAGTGAACCCCATCTTTGTGTGGTGTTACTGCAAGTGTCCACAGAGACTCAAACATCTAACAGGCTGGTTTAGGTAGTGATTGCTAGATTTAGTGTGGTTGGTTGTTTCTTGAACATCATCGCAGTGCATGTCAACATCGTTATTCTTCAAAGAGGGGGGACAACTGTTGTACCCATTTTGAAAACCTTCATCACTTGTACAATTTGAATCAGTCTGTTGATTCATGCCACTTGAAAGGTACAAATCGTGACTTACAGCATTTGGACCAAGTATCTCCACATGATCTAAATACTGAACCAGACCTATGAAAACATAAACAACATTTAGTCACCTCTCATTTGGACATATTTAAACATAGTCACTAACCATACTTGAAAATCTACTCTCAGTTTAATAGATTATGCAGTAACTCCAAATTTGTGTCATGAGATAGTCTTACACTTGAAATTTACAAAGTAGATCTGATGGTCTTAATTCTTGCATGTATCTACATG